CTGGCATCTGCTCCCAAGCTGCTATTTTCTGCAAACAGTGTCAGATTGCCAGGTAGCATGTGGCATTCATATTCAGCCTGGCTTGGAGATTATGTTGCACCACATTCAGCCATATGTCTTTGCAACAGAGGAACAGAGGAAGAAATGAGCATGTGAGGGCAAACTCCACTCCTCACATACTAGTGAGTGACAGTGCAATGCAACTACAAAAGTCAGAGCTCCCAATCTGATGACATGATGCATGTATTGTCATTTCGGTGTAGTGACGGTTAGGATCAGACACTTAGGAACTCAGCATAAAAATAGGTGAAAGTGGATAATGCATAAATATTGGGTTGGATCTGGCATACTCAAAGTAGACCCACTGGAAAAATGAGACTTAAGGTAGTCAAAAATTGCCATGGATTTCAATGGGACTATTTTAATTCAGATGAGGCTTGGATCCAACCAACCCATTGTGTCAGGTTGTAAAAGAGGCTTTTATGAGTGCAGTGGGAAACTTGTCCTAAAACCCAGTAATGGTCCTGCCCAATGGAATGCAAGAATGGAATCTTGTACAAAATGTTGCTGCAGACAATTGGCAAGTAATATATTGGGGGAAGCTGAGACACTAAGAGAAAGCATGAAAATGTGATCAAGCTGCAAATATTACATGCAAAATCTCAGTCAACCACCAGTGGGAGCCAAATATCACAGTTTCATTATGAAGTCCTTTTCACAGTTAGCTAATGCTGTCCAAAGATCAAGTGTATGTGTGTGCGTCTGTATGTATTTGTGTATACATACACACACACACAAATACGCACACACACCAACAATTTTATTGTTTATTTAGTCTGCTTTAGATGGTGGTTGGTTTGTCAGATTTATAGCCAATCCTGCCTTTTCTCCAAGGGCTTGAGACACCTTACAATAAGCCTGTGAGATACGTTGGCAACGAAAATGGCCTAATGATACTAAGTGAATTTTCTGGATTAAGGGTAGAGGAGGCAGAATGAATAAAGATGTCTCTATCTCCCATTCTTGTCCTAGGCCAACACCTTAACCACTATTCCATACTGGTTTGGGATTTATTGTTAGGCTGTGTTATTATCAATAGGTTAACCCAGTGTTTCTCAACCTTGGCCATTTTAAGAGGTGTGGACATCAACTCCCAGAATTCCCTGGCCAGCTGGCCAGGGAATTCTGGGAGTTGAAGTCCACACCTCTTAAAATGGCCAAGGTTGAGAAACATTGGGTTAAACATTCAGAAACTTCTTGCATCTTCCAGTTGCATGGAAGGCAGCACTCCTTTTCAGTGCCTTGCCCCATTTTAGGAAAGTTCTTTCCTAAGTCTTATCTGAGAGTATTTTGAGTCTCTTTTCATCCCCAGTTAAAAGAATCTGTGATTTATTCCAGCTTTTTAAGCCTTGAGGCTTTCAGATTTTTAGCTCTTTTAATTGCTTTTAATATATAAACATGAAGAAGGAGAACAATACGAACATACAAAAAAGTAAAGAAAATTTGAAAATATCAAGGGAGGGAGGAGAGGGAGAAAGAAAAAGAAACAATGATGAAATAAATATAAATAAAACCAAAAGCTCAAATCTAAACTATCAAATTGAACCTTGAACACGCAGAGTAATATTGATTCCACAACATCACTTGAAGGATGGTAGTAAGTGAGTGTTTGTTTTCCATCCAGGGTTTTAACTCATGTGTAACACAGTTTTTCCACAGTCAATACGGAACAACAAAAACTAACAGTGGTTTCCTGACAACAGACAGACATCCCATTCTCCCAGTACGCAAAGTTCCTGCTCTCTCAGACCTTATCATGAATCTGCTTACATACAAACATCACCTATTGTAGCTGTGAACAGCTGTGTAGATCAGAGTGGTTTCATGTATTGCATGAAACCAGAATGTGATGTTCAGTTTGGCTTAACCTGTTGTATGAACCCAGCTGTTATGGTTTGTAAACAATGGTTTGTGATGTAGCCTGTTTATACCTGCTCAACAAGTGTGCTTGTTCAGGAACAATTTGTCAACAGCGCATCCAGATAAACATGTCTAAGCTAAATGAAGATTGGGTCACCAGTTGTCCTTTCAAAATGCACCCAATTTACTGTGATTTTAATCAGAATCCAAGGCACTGGACTCTATTGCACTATAAAACATTTACAGGTAGTCCTTGTTTAGTGACCATAATTGAGACAGGCAACTCATCATTAAGCAAAGTGGTTGCTAAGTGAAACCACAACTGTGCTTATGATCTTACTTCAGCTTTTTTTTTTTTTTTTGCTTTATAGACCTGTGAAGGTTGTAAATGTGAGGATTGGTTGTAAAGTTATTTTTTATCACTGTCCCTAAATGAGGCAGTCACTAAACTAGGACTACCTGTATTTAGCCCTTTCCTAAGCCTTTTCCATAGGAGAAGAATGTCATATGGTAACCAAGTGAAAAATATTAGAAGGTCCTGTGGAGTCCTTGGAGTTGTCTGAGCTTGGTTGTTTTCTTGCA